GAGATGAGATAGAAGTTCTCCACTCCTGAGTTAGATAATTGGGCCAGCAATGGCAGGAGGGGAATTAAGAGCAGAAGAGTAAGGAGTCTAATATCTCATCAGCCTGGGTATATATTTTCCTAGGGTTTTTGCATCCAAAGAGACTAAGGTTTCAGATTTATCTTGGATACCATGCTTTTCAAGTGCCATCTTTCTGTATTTCCAACTCATGAATTGAAGTATTCAGTTTAAGGTACTTGCATGTTATCTAAAGTCCTCTGCATTAAAGTTGCAATTTTATTATTTGCATACATAATAGTAAGTATACGACAGCAAAAGTAATGAGAGAAAAGTGATGAAGTAAAAAACATTGGAACAATAATAAAATCAGTGGGTAAATTATAATCCAAGTAGGCTTTTATTTTTTAACAACAAAACTTGTTTAATAAAGAAACTACATACTTAACAGAAACATTATTAAAGCTAGAAGTTAAAGGTACATTGAGGGAGAGACCTTTGTTTAACCAATTTAAAGGAATCCATTTTACATATAAATAAGACTAAATTCAAGAAAATTATTTTTTAAGTTTTTTTATTACTGATGATTTCTGAGAATAAAGTTGATTATATTTTCTCATAGGGGAGCAATGTTAAAATATGAGGTTTTATTAGGATTCAGCATTCAAAAAAATCACTGATCTAACCATCATATCATAAGTGCAAAAAAGCCCACAACAAAAAAACACCTAAATGTCTACAGTAATTTAAAATACTATTCCCAGTTCTATTAAATAGGCCTAAATATATGGCACATAATAATTACAGCATTTAATGTATTATTAAGTGCATATATAGTAAAATATATATAGTACTATATTTAACACTAAGTAATTTTACTTATCATCTTAGGATTTAGGATGTTGCTAGGGAAATAGATGGCATGAGACTTTAAAAGTTATCCAAATATTTAAAAACTTTGTTTTGATAACATTTTCCTAAAACAAGCAGAGGCATTCTTCTACCTCATTAATTCTTGAGGTATTTCTTCACAAACATTTTCAAAAGTAAAAGCTGATATATGTTCCCTTATTTTCTCAAGTCACTCAAAAGCTAAAATTGTTAAGGGCTGCATCAGACAATAGGTCACTCTGCAAAGTGTTGATCTTGCTATTATTAGAGTACTTTTTCCCTCATGAAAACTATAGGAGCTATCTGGTCATTGGCACAAACTTAAAAAAAACACCCTTAAAAACACTGCCTTTGTGTTCTGAGTTGGCCAGAAGGAACGAGGATAAACTTAGATTGGTTGTTTACAGAGAAAGCTCTGAAAAGTCAATCTGAGATGCTATCCTGAAAGGTGGTTTTTCTTTTTTAAATGTATTTTATTGATTTTTTACAGAGAGGAGGAGAGAGAAATAGAAACATTGATGAGAGAGAAACATCAATCAGCTGCCTCCTGCACACCCCCTACTGGGGATGTGCCCGCAACCCAGGTACATGCCCTTGACCTGGAATCAAACCTGGGACCCTTCAGTCTGCAGGCCGACGCTCTATCCACTGAGCCAAACCGGTTAGGGTTGAAGGTGATTTTTTTATTTCAGAGAGGAAGGGAAAGGGAGAGAGAGAAACATCAATGATGAGAGAGAATCATTGATCAGTTGTCTTCTGCACGCCCCACACTGGGGATCGAGCCCGCAACCCAGGCATTTGCCTTTGACTGGAATCGAACCTGGGACCCTTCGGTCCACAGGCTGACGCTCTATCCATTGAGCCAAACCAGCTAGGGCGAAGGTGATTTTTCTATAAAGAAATCTGACTCAGCTAGATGAAATAAATGATGCAACTATTTCCTTTCACTTCCTCAAGGTGGTGATATCTCTCATTGTCAGCAACTGCTGCTTCAAATTGGATTGAATCTTTTCCTTCTCTAAGAGCTATTTTAAGCTTTCAAGTTTGCTCTGCATATTTGAAGGCTAACTCTTGTCTCCTTTGTTCAATCTCCCCATTTTTTTTTTGTACATAGTTGTTTCACAGCTTCGGAAGTTGCCTTCTATACTCAGTTTTGTTGGTCAGTTATTCCAGCAAGAGTTTATTTTCAGCCTGGACATGTAACTTTTCATTGATTAGCTGCCTGTTTTCCTGCATGAGCAGTTTTGCTGGATTTGACCTTTTATTTGCTTGTTTGGCTTCATCATTTCCATTGTCCATTTAAAAAAAAAATTGATTTCAGGGTGGGGGTAAGGGGAAGAGATCAACCAAAGGACTTGTATGCATGCATATAAGCCAAACCAATGGACATGGACAACAGGGGGATGAGAGCATGAGTGTGTGTGTGTGGTGGGGGGGAGGAGGTTGGGGGTTAATGAGGGGATGAGGACACATTTGTAATACCTTAACCAATAAAGAAATTAAAAAAAAATTGATTTCAGAGAGGGAGAGGGAGAGAGAGATAGAAACATTGAGAATGGGGATCCAGTCGGCAACCTGGGAAACCTGTGCCCATGACTGAAATCAAACCTGGGATTCTTCAGTCCGCAGGCCCACTATCCAACTGAGCCAAACCAGCTAACCATTGTCCTTTTTAAAAGCCCCATTGTGGCCTGTTTTGGGGGGGCTTCCCTGGCTTCAAAAAATTATTAAACTAAGATACCACGTAGGGGTATTAGTACTGTTGGAGTCCTCAGTAAACCTGAAGGAAGAACAAGTGAAACATTCTCCCATCAATTCTTAATGAAAATTTAGGAAACAAAAAACGCACAATTATACTTTAATTCACAAAAGAAAATATTTTCGAGCACTTATGTCGAGGCACGGAGCATACAGGTAGGGGTGAAGGTGAAGGACTGTAGTTTACAATTTATAATATGCATTCACTACCACCCCTATGAGATACCTCAATTTTAAAGAGAAGAAAGGTTTGGAGCATCTAAGTAACTTAGCCACGATTTACACTGCTAGCAAGTGGCAGAGCCGGGGTCGGTGTGAAACCCACATTTATCTACGACTTGTTGAACAGCTGGCTACAAAGGGCCCAGAACAGACTCGGAGGTCAGGAGCAGGAATACATGTCTCAGCTCCTGCACCACCTTTTCGGTTTCCGTGCAGGGAAACGCCCCTCAGTACCTACTTGCTCCGGGAATCCTAGCGTCCACTCCCCCGCGTTGGTGTAAGTTCACCGAGAGGGACTAGGACTAGTGTCAGGGCGTTGGTGT